CTTCCCAGAAACCACTTCCCAGAAACCACTTCCCAGAAACCACTTCCTAGCCTCCGGAGACCATTTCACCCGCGTTCCGAAACGAGCCGAATCCGGGTTCCGAAACGAGCTGAATTCGCGTTCCAAAACGAGGCGTCGGCCCCTAGAAACAACTCTCATCATCTCCTATACCACAAAACAGCGCCTGTTTCCACACGGTGAGGACTATGACTATATGTGATACGTCACCTTTTCCTGAAGGGAACAGACCGAACAAACGCAAACCTTAATGGCTTAATTACTTCAAACACCACCTACTTGGCAGTGGGTCATGGCACCCAGGCACCTGCTTTGACCCCGGATGAACGTCAACCTCTCATGGTGTTCGGTGCCACGACTCCCAGCCACTTGAAGTGGTATCGAAACTGATACACTTCAAGTGGCATACCTCGTACCCGGGAAAAAAGGCTCCCCAAAGCCTGGGCTGGCTGAGGACAAGCATGCTCTTTGATCACCTTCGCGCGCCGGAAAATTGATGAGATGATCATAGAACCTGAATCACCTCTATTTCGGACCACCAACCACTAAAAATATGTTATCCTTTCCTATTAAAGCAGGGGCCAAATGGGTTCCAGGCATGTAGATTCCTGTACACACATCACATGGAAGTGGATGGCGCACTTCCATGTTTGTCAGTCGGAGGGTAGTTGTTCGGGTGCGCTCACGCCCGCAGATTGGAAGATTGGAAGATTGGAAACCCTGACAACTTCTTACCCACAAACCACCCGTCAGTCGCACCACACACTGTAACACTTCTTGGAAATTTAAACTTTCAACTCATCGACCTCAAACGCAAGTTTCCATTGCAACATGTCCTTGGAGCAGCGAGATTTGCCTCATTTTCACCTGCTCATATAGTCATCCTGGTGTGGGTAGAAGACATCCAAAAACATAAAAACCTGCAACTGGGCATGTTTTTGGATTGGTTTTTCATCTACCCTGGAGGGTTGTCATGGATATCCACCATTATCCAGAACCACCATGTAGACTCTAGACCTGCCGAGCAACTCGTAGACCCGCCAGAGTCCCAGCTTTCTTCCACAGAGTCACAGTTCTCTTCCACGTGGAACAAAAAGTTGCGGAGTACCGGACCAGTGGTTTTGTACCCAAACACTCCATGGGATTGGAATATTTACACCCTGAAACCAACCACCCCAACGTAGGTATATATGCCAGTCCCATTGGTTGTGATCCGCTCCAATATGTGCTTAATTGTATATATGTAATATTTATCTATGAATTCACATACAAATGTCTTTTTGATCCGCTCCAAAAGACATCCACAACCATCTGGGCCCAATAACAGGCCACCTTGAGATCTTTTGCTCCAAAATTTGGGTTTGAACAACTCCTTTAACCTTTGCTCAAATCGAAAACGGTCAATAGAACAGCTCTCAAATTTAGAGCTTGAGATTTTTCCACTGGCTGAAATTACGGCCAACGCAGGGATTGGCTCAAATGATGCTTGGCGACCAAGTCATGAAAGGCCACAGGTGCCCGCAGCCTTGCTGCAACTCCACAGCTGAAGAAACACTGTAGCATAATCCCACCAAAACAGCTAAATGGCAAATTGTAGAGCAGTTTCTTACGATCTCCATCGATCTTGTGTTTGCGCTTTGTTACCATCTTGTTGTAACTTGCAGTCACTTGGCCAGAAGATCCCGAAGAGTAGTCCGCCCACCAGATTTTGCAGCTTCCCGGTGCTCAATATCGATAGCAAATGATACGTACTGCTGTTAGATAGAGAGCCACCGGCAGGCACCCTGACAACAGGCAACACGTGTCAAACGCACTGCTTCATGACATACGCCATGAGGCCTAAATAATTACGAACACCGTGCCCTTGATAGCTTGCAACTTGCAACCCATGACAGGCGCTGCCCGCGGTGACTTCACAATCCAAGACATGACCTATGCAGATGAGCCGCGATTGAAACCCAGATTTTCCAACGATTTCCCATGATTGAGTGTTCCCTGACGCGCGTTTCCAGAGGACGAAGAACTGGCAGTTGAAAAGGACCGGGCTATGGCGCATTTGGTGAGGTTTCCAAAGCCTCTTGATAAGCTTTGGCCTGGATGGTTTTCAGGTCGTGTAGTTGAGCTTTGCGCGTTGCTGCCTTCAACTCCTTTTCCCTCGCCTCCTCTGTGCTTCTTTTCTTGACCCTGGTCTGCTGGAACCAGGACCATGCTTTGTCTGCTGGAGCCAGGACCATGCTTTGTCTTGGTCTTCATGAGTCAAGGTCTGAAAGACATGGTCTCCTTTATTTTCTACGATGATGCATGAAATTTGCCTTTGCATACCTATTCACACTGATTGATGTTGCCAAAAATTGTTGGCATTGTGAGAATGGGGTTCTCAGCTTAGCGCCTTGCTTATCCAAACCGAAGGCCGCCATGTTACAATTAGGTTCTCGGCGTAGCCCCTTGCTATAACCAGTTCAACATGCTACACTTTTGGTCCTTGGGGTTCTCAGCTTAGCCCCTTGCTATAACCAATTCAACACGCTGGATGAATTAACCTTGGGGTTCTCATCTCAGCCCTTTGCTATCCAAGTTCAAAGCAACCGTGTGACAATGGGGTTCTCAGCTTAGCCCCTTGCTATGCCCAAAGCTCAAAGCGCATCTTAGCCCCTTGCTATTTACTGCCCTTGCTCTGTTGCCCTTTATAGTTGTTCATCTTCTCTTTTCCTTGTCTCTTTTCTTTTATCCTTGTTCCTTTTCTCTTATCTCCTTTTTTTTACTGGTTCCAATTTTGACGCTTGGGGTGTAGGGTTCAATGTACAGTCATATCAACTGAACATTGTTCTTCTATCGTTGCTTTTCGAACAAGAATTCAATTAGGATTTCAGTTAGAAAAAGAGAAGTCAAGATATTTAGAAAGAGAGAAACGATAAGTTGTTCAAGATAATATATATATATATATTTCAATGAAAAAGTATTTAAACAAAACAAACAATTTCATTAAAAACACATACACTTCTTGAAAAGAATTAGACATATCATATCATATCATATCATATCATATCTCATATATTAACGCCGAGCGCGCGCACACACTTATTATGGAAATGCGCTCGGACTAGGATGCGGTTGCCACACGCCAGCCTTCGTGAAAAACCTAAGAAACCAGGGGGAGTATGTGTCAAGCGAACGACCGGGAAAACTGCATGAAAACTGCAAAGACCTCCAAAGCTCACGAAAGATCCGACATAACTCGCCGATGCGCTAGCCCTTTACTGCAGCAAGACTGAATGTGGAAACAACGTATTGGACAGCTTTTGCGTCCCGAGTTGATCCTATCTCTGCTCCAGGTGCCCCCTGCTGCTAAACATTCAATGAATCCCTGTCATTCCAAGGGGTACACACAGGCCTCCCGATTAGGGAGGCGAGAAAAACTAAGGTTACGACAAGTGTGCATGTGCGCGCAAAAAAGACACACAAATGACGACATGCAAGGAAGAAAAGACAGACCAGATGTATGTGGTTGCAGTGAAGCGGAAACAAGTGACCAGGCACAACCGATGAACCCAACTTCCTTGTAACAGCCTGTGCGACCTGAGACCTGGGTTTAAAGTGTAAGTGCGCGTACACATTAAGGGCTGGACCAATATGTGCGCAAAAGACAAAAAGGATGAGGTGCCAAGACATGAAGACAGAAAGACATGAAACAAAAGAAGGAAAAAAGAGTGTGTGAACAGGAAAGGATGAAACGGAAGCCCGACCTCACTAGTGTGTGCACATGGGGCCACGTACGCCGTGCCAAAATGGCTGGCTGCTCAGACCGCTATGGTCACCTCCTGGCTTGTCCGAGGACTGCCTACTAGATTTCAATACTAGTTCAGCAATTCTTGGCAAGTAACTTTGGCTTAATAAAGCCACCTACGCTCGCTGCGAGCTGCTCTGTATCCAGGCAGGGGATACGTTGGAAAAAAACCCGATCGACAGGTCCACAGGGGCTTTCCCCTTAGAATCCTACGTGCAACATGTCGACACCTAAGTTGCGGTCAGATTTCCACACCTGAAAGCCTTATAAGTATATACTATAAATTTAGACGGGTGTGGAAATCTGACCGTGCTGTACCACCAGGCAAAATGGACGTGTCAATCCGAGCCACTGTAGACCGCAAGTGTCATGTTGGAATAGAATAAGAAACGTAAACTTTAGGTTCTTGAAGTATGGGGAAAATGCATTTCTACAGCCAATAGGCCAGCGTCTCTTCTCCCGACATATCTTTAGAACAAAACACTGCCATTCTTCACACCTGTCGCTTCTCGCAGTGCTCATGCACTGAACCCTAGGCCCTAGGCAAAGCCTGCTTATTCACGCGCTGCGCCTCACGGCCACCCGCTGTTTGATGTTTGATGAGCTGACACGCGAACCACAAAATAACAGGACTAGATGCATTGCCCAAGATCTTGTCAGTCCGCGCTACTTCATCCGAAGTTCGTGAAGACATTGTCACGGCACGGCACGCCACCCGCTGTCAAACTTGGAAGAGGTGGACAACGATGAGTTACCCCACTAAGAGTAACAGGTGAAATCTCACACTTTGAACGCGTTTGAGCGATGTAGTGACTCACTTCAGAAGTTTGTTCAGCTAGGGCGTGAAGCCTTCATGATTTTTACCTCATTGTCCTCCGTTGACTGATCATGCAGCATGTCCTCCTCTGTAACACAGCTTGCCTTTGGCCTTGCTGAAATCCGCGATTCCACCCTCATAGCTGGTTCCAAAGCCTTGCGTGGCCCAATATACGTGGCTCAATACTATCAGGCCCCGGCGGACAAGGAAAGCGTTCAAGTGCTTTTCCGATTGATGCTTCTCACGTCTTCAAGCCCCAGGCCCCTTTGCTGCAGGATGGCTCGCCTAGAGTCGACAATGGTAATTCAAAGCGTACTCGGGCAGGCGGGTACGTGCACCTTCGGTCTAGATTTTTGTTTCTCAGTAGACAGGACTTGGCCGCAGGCACATTCGCGAGGCCATCTGTGATTCGAAGCGTAGACAGGAAGGCAGTCGGCCATCAAGTTGCACGACGCCTCTGACCGAACAACAGGGTTGAAAAGCCGAAGGCCGTAAAGTTTGGGCAGCCAGGCTGCAGCGGTCTGTGTTTATAATTGTTTGGACATCAGCCCAGCCGGGGTGAAATACCTTGTCAAAGCAGGCTTGATGCAATCAGTGATTTGGCCAGGCTGCCTCATCTTTTGCCTATAGGCCTGACGACTATGAAAGTTCAATACAGCATCTCCCGTGCTCGTTTGTTGCTCGATTCTTGGTCTGCGCGGTGAGACTGCCAAATGAACATCAGCGCCCTCAAGGCCGCCCTCGTCGCAAAGGTGAGAAACATCCTAACGAATAATAGCGCTGGCGCGCGATGGAGGACCGCAAGCCTCCAAACGGAGCAAAGCTCCCCTACAGTCCTAGTGGTCGAACATCCGATCTCGATAGATCTTTGCGGCCTTTCTTTTGAGTTTTTCTTCTTTTGAACAAATTCTTTGTGTTCTCTGGGGGCACTAGCCTCTCTCACGAAACGAAGGGAAAGAGAAGAGAAGAAAGAGAAGAGAAGAAAAGAGCAAAAAACAGGAAAGACAAGATATGACATGAAAAATGAAAACAGAAAAGAACTGATAGGAAAAGAACAAATAATAAAGAGGAAAGAAAAAGCAAGAAAAGAGAAGATAACCAAAAACAAAAAGACAAAAATAATAGACAAGAAAATAAAAGAAAGCAAATATTAACAATAAAGTAGATTAAAGAAAACAACATAACACTGAACATTTTCTCAACGAGCTTCCCGCTTCCCTCCTTCTTGATATTCAATTTTGTTTCTCATTCCCCTTGGCGACCGGGAAGAACTTCCCGGTGTGATCGCTGTAGATACGCGACCAACGGTTCGATCCTTTTTTTGAGTGCGATCCTACTATATTTTGCCCAAGTCAAACAAAAGGCCACCAAGGTTCCAAAATTATTTCCCCATGATATGTGATATGAACTGATCATGATCAAATCAGAAAAATCATGACAAAGGTATTCATATTCCCGGTTCCCCGTTGCCAATTCCCACAAACCCCTGGTGACCGTCCTGCCCGGTAAAACCCCACCGGTCCCTCCGACACGATGCCCAAGGCGCGGCCAGGTGCGAAGGACAAAGCACCAAGGCGTCCAGCTTCGAGAGCGCCGTGGCCACGCTCTGCGGTCGTTTTGCGGTCGTTCGACGACGATGACGTTCCGTGCAACGAAGTGCCGGCGGGTGTGGGACTGGTGCACCAGAATCCAGATGAATCGAGATGAATGAAGACATCAAATGCGTCAACTCACGAGGGCATGACCGGTCACGAGTCATGAGGACAACACAATATTCGCTAGGGCTCCTGGCCCACCTCCTGAGAAGGTGGTTGTGGTGGGTGCCAGGGGGGTCTAACCACCGAACCTGAGGAGATGGTTGGAGCCCTAGCGAATTCATACCAATATATGGATGCCAGGAAGAATGCACATCATGTCTTGTTTGTCCACATCATGCATCAATGCATCATTGTCGGAAAATCAGGGGATGCTTGCTTGCAAAAGTCCCACGACTTTACGTGGTTTTGTTGCACAACCACATGGCCCCAAACCTGTGAGGACTTTGATGGATAATGATAATGATAACCTTCCGACAGCCAGTACTCACTAGTCGTTGCTTCTCGGGGTTACATGAGCAATCCCCAGACTCCAGGCGCATGTACTCCCCAGAACTAGCTTGCGATCGAACGTAGGTCGGAACTCGCAGAGTTGCCAAAAAATAAAGCTTCCCAGAGTCGTCTTAAGGCAACTTTCAACAGATTGCTTGACTGGATTGGCACCGTGAAAAAATAACACCTGCATGGAAAAAACTCACACCTAGGACCTAGAAGACCACTTTTGGAAGATGCCTTGTTGACGCAATCCCCGAAAACGTCGAAGACCGCATCCTTTTGCACAGCCCCATCGTGTGTTTTCCAAAAGTGTCTGGGATAATATGTTGTCTGGGCATGTCTGGGTGTCCTGGCACTAAGTACCCACACTCTACGACCCGGGATCTCCAGCCAGAAATCAGCCAGGACACCCAGACCAGGATGATACAGAGTCTATAGCGGGTATCAAGGGGATTGGACCGGCACGCCGCCGTGCCCGCAATTTGCGTCTCCTGTGCAGAAGGCAGGTTCCGGAGGGCCGCTTCCTGGCAGGTGAACCAAGGGCGGCGCGCCACGTTCCACGGCTGGAGGGGCGGAGCTCAACGACTTGGGAAAGTTCGGGAAAACCATGGGGCGCCCCGAACTGGCCAATGATTTCCCAGCGGCGACTGCATCACCTGCATCCAAACAGATTCGTTGAAAGAAGTCACGCGAATGTCAAAATCACATTGATTTGGTTCTGGTTCAAACGGAAGTGGTTCTGAGTGGGACTGAGTGGTTCTGGAACCGGCACTACGGCTATGCCTCGTCATCTCACATATCCATAGACAGTTACTTACCATGTTTGCCTCCGCTGCCTCAAGGAACGGGCAGAATTGTTCAAGAAGTGTCGCTCACCCAACTCGCAATCGCCCGAGCGTTGACCGAGCACGTTGACCGAGCGTTTCGCCCAAGAAACATCGAAGTGAGTGGATGTGACAAGGGCCACCTAACCTCCTTCCTCCGGAGGAAAGAGGTTATAGGCACCCACCCCATCACGTGAAAGGTCGTCACGTGGCTGGACTACCAAGACCCCTCTACCTCTGAGGAACGTGATTTCTTGATTTTTAAGAGGCATGGCCTCAGTCCCACTCAGAACCACTTCCGTTTGAACCAGAACCGAGGCATAGCCGTAGTGCCGGTTCCAGGCACGCCGACACATTGGTTTCGTGCTTTCGAGGTTTGGTTTCACAAGATTTTGCCGGTGGAAAAAATAACAAGCATATCATATATATCCCAATACCAGGGTGGGAGTCTAGGGAGCCATTTTCTAGCTACACTAGCTATAAAACGGTGTGCATACATACAAACAGAGTTCTAAGTTAGCCACTGACTTGCTAATTCGGTCCTTCTTCCCTGAAACCCTTTTTGGAACCCATGGAACTTCACGTTTTCTGCACCACATTCGCTTCGAACATCCTCTCCTTCCCCACAAGATGCGCGTTTGTTTTTAAGCGACTCGGGTCCTTGCCAACGATCAAGTTGGGATCTGTGATGATCCGGATCGCCTTCAGCGTCGCCGTGTTCAATGGTTTTTTTAGCTCGTCAGCCCCATGGGGGGCAGCTAGGGGGTCTCAACCAAGCATGCGTCATGGGCTGAGCAACTCGGCGTCATGGGCTGAAACACGATTGTTTGTTCTGTCTTCTTCGGGTCTTCGGGCAAAACTCAACAACAACTCTAGGCTCCCTATATGTCACATGCACAATCTGACCCCAGCATGAATCCGGACTTGAGCATCCGGACTTGAGCATTCTATTGGAAAATCAGTGAGTCCCTGTACTATAATACCCAGACACTCCATGGGACTGCCATATATGCGTATCAATTGACCCCTCGAACCCACCACCCAAATGTATATAGGTCAATATGCCAGTCCCAGAAAGGTCGTGTTTGGGTTTCTCTCGGTGCGTGTGTCTTTTTCGGCTCATCCACATGCTCTGGAGCCTCGCCTTCAGCGTCTCCTTCTCTTTTTTGGCCGTGGTCTTTTCCTGCCCGCGCGAGCGGCAAAAAGTGCGGAACGTTCCTTTTTACGTACAAAGTAAAAGTGGACGATGGCCAGTTGGATGTCCATTTTCCTCTACAAACAAGTGGTGAACTCCACTTCCATGTTAGTGATTAGAAGTGTATACCGTATAGTGTATACCGTATACCGTATACCCGTATAATTTTAATTCTAATAGCTTTTTGTTACTAGTAGTAAGGCACTTGTTACTACTAGCGTGGCACTTGTTACTAGTCGTATACCCGTATACCTCATAGGGTTTTTACATGTTTTTACATGCCTGAGAACGGCCCCTCGAACCTGTCCCAAACATTCCCTGAGTACCTTCCTGCCAGAAAAAAAAACACACACTTCAAACGAAACCACGTCACCCTGCCAGTGTAGTCAGAAGCCCAGTCTTTTACAAGCACGGGCTTGAATGGTGGTTTCTCTGCAGGTTCGGGGTGAAATCTCATCTTCTTTGGGGCTTCAACCAATCGCATCTTGCTCCCGTTGTACACAATCTAGTGGTGGAATATGACAATCAAAACAGGAGCAAGTGGTTGTTCTTATCTAAAAATGATTGGGCTTGGACAGTCTTCACAACGAAATGTTGTTTGGTGGTCATTCATTGCAACACAACACTTGGGCAGGACATCGGTTTGCACTTTACAGAACTATGTAAAACAGTTGCGGTGAAGGCCAAGGTTGAACAAATCGGCATAGCTCATGGCTGTTGAGCTGTGGCACTGTGGTGCATCAACAGACTTCATCTGTGCCCCTGTGCAGGACGGTTGTGATGATCAAAGGGCATGGCATTTGTAAGCCCACAGAACGGAAACCATGCATGAGTTTCGTTTAGATTCTCAAATTTGCCAAGCAAACTCTCAGAAGACGGACTTGCAATCCAAGATAAACTCAAGTTCCTTCCACATAAAGCCGGCAAGTGCGCGTGAGAGACAAGAGGATATAGATGAGGAACCGTTAGCAAAGATGAGAGAAACGAGGAGAATTAACGGTGGCAGCCATTAGCGAAACTGAGAGAAAACAGGAGAATGAAGAAGGCGGGTGATTGGCAAAAATGAGAGAAAACCAGAAATGGAGGAATACAGCAGAATGATGGGGGAGACCAGCCAAGAGGGCGAGAAAACAGAATAATTTTCAGACGGCAGGAGCCAAGGATCGTCGGTCTTTCTGGGGAGAACAATGCCATCCACTTCAACTTCCATCCCTAGGGATCCAGACGTCGTACCGAACCTCAGGTTCGGTACGACTGGGCCCTCGAAACCTACATAAGATTGTCGAACACATCACCGTACCTGAGAAGGTACGACTGGATCCCTAGGGCAAGAACATCTTCCACTTGATACAGTATCATCTTCCTCCGCCGCACTGAAAGAAACACCGGATGCTCCTTCTGTATGATGCATCCAACATCCTTGGATTTCCAAGCTTTTCCCCCAAAGCTTGGTTCCCCCAGATGGTCCCATCTCTGTGTTTTCAACCCCCAGAACATGGTCTGGGACTGTATTCCCAGGGACCACCCCATGGATCGCCATTTCAAGCACCACCCCGTCTGGTAGACGACCCCAAACACGAGCTGTCTGGGACTACCAGGACGGACTGCCGTTTCGTGGCACGGCCGACGGGGTGGTGGTGCCAGGGGGGTCTGGCTGGGGCGGCAGTCCGTCCTGGCAGTCCCAGACAGCTCGTGTTTGGGTGACATAGTTCAGTCCCATAGAGTTTAACTATTCCAGTCCCGCCCTTTTCGACCTATGAAGTGTTTACTAAAAAAAACCAATGCCTCCGCAACAAAAAGCTTAAAGGTTACCCATACTATCCCATACTCCATGTCCGGCATATTCACCTACATTCACCCTTGAAATCAACCATCACAAGTATATATGCAACACGATTGCAGTCCCCTGGAGTGTTTAGGATCCATATGACTGACTCCTGTGCCTTTTTTTCGTTGGACAATAGAGGTTAACCAAACTTTTCACCTGTTCTATGTGAAACGTGGGGTGTTCCCAATTACAAAAAACACCGTTCTCATTCAGTTATCCACTTTTCCCGGGGTCTAGGTGTGGGGCCCCGAGACACCGTGGTCTACTCCGTCCGTGGAGTCCCACGAGCGCCACGCGAGAGCCTCGGCGGGGTGGGACGTGGAGCCGCGGCCGAAGCGGTTCTCGATGACGTGGATCTGCAGCTGGATCTCCTCCTCCCCTGGCGCGGCCGGAGGACAGCGGGACGTGAAGGAGTTCGGAAGAAACCGGATTCATTGATGGACCATTTGCGGACCATAGAAGTGCTTCATGGGGAGAGCTGTAGTACCGGCCCAAGGGCCCAAGTGTTGGGGTTCTGGAAAAGCTCCAGCTTGGTGGGGCGCGGACTCTTTTCGGCTGAGCAGGTTTCGGCTTTCATAGGGAAGGACAAGGGAAAGTGATAGGGATACACTGGATACACTCCCTGGAATCATGGAAGTGGAAAAGCATCTGTGTGTAGAGGATTGTGGTGATTCAGGAGCCATTGTCCAATTCGATTATTCCGGCAAGTGCATGGCACTGAAGGATGTTGGACACGTATATGGAGATTCTGGAGATCTGCGAAGAAGGTGTTTGGGGTGTCTGCAATGCCTGGAATTTTCAGTCCGGAGGTAGACCATAGGGATCTGCTCAATTGCAAGAACCCTTCCCGGAAAAATAGGGTCGCTATCGGGATCCTATTCAAATCTTGCTTTTTCCAAAGAACTCTTTCCTTCAACAGTGGGAGCAGCTGGCCCTTGACGTGTTCTTGCCCCTCGCCGCTTCGAAGTAGACGGCCTGGTAGGTCCCAGATGGTTTCACCCTCCTTGAGGTGCTTCCCCAGCAAGAACCGGGTCCACCAAAGCCTGAAGCAAGGAACTTAGGCCATTAAAAATATCCGGGTGGAACTCCAACAAGTTGGACTTCCATAAGGAAGAACAAGTTGGACATTTCTGGAGAAGAACACGGTCAAAGGCAAACACTCGGAAGATGTTGGAAGGCTTGTTCAAACCAAATGGCCCCCCACCCCAAAAACTGCCACCAGATCAGAGTATGGGAAGTGACACCCAACATGAAGCTTGGATTTGCCCGGCAAAAGATCACAAGTTCCAACTGAAGTTTGACCCGCCCGATGGCTGGAACTAAGCCGTTCATCCAGCAGTTCCATGCTGGGGGTGCTATCCAATCCATGGAACGTCGGGGTGCCCGAGGTCACCTCCACAACCCCTGGATGGAGCCGACGAGCCCCCCCCCCGACTGGAAGGAACTCGGGATGAGACGATGAGAGGGATGGGACCGGGGATGGAGTGCGGCGCACCCAAGAAACCAACTCCAGCCCCTAAGGAAACAGTCGTACCTTCTCAGAAGGTGATGTGTTCGACACTCTTATGTAGGTCCCACGAGGGTCCAGTCGTACCGAACCTGAGCTTCGGTACGACTGGATCCCTAGGGAGCTGTAGGATTTTCTGTCCAATTTGCCGGGAAAATCACACCGATTGCTGAGAAGGGGATTCATCGCGAGTCATCCATCTCGGGAGTCATCCATTTCATCGCCCGAAACAAATCCTCTTTCGTGGGATGTCCCCGATTCCCCCAAAACGGTTAGAGGTTATCCACTTGGGTAGTAAGTCCTAACATGTCCGAACCCTAATTATGGGAAGAATCGACATCGCAAAGAAATCACTGGACAGAGCTGCACCCTCGTGACCAGGTGTAAACCTAAGGCCATCTTTCTGCTTGGGATGCAACGGATTGGACACGTATGGTATAGTCTCATAAGCAGGACTGGAGAATTTGCTGATTGATATATCAGGCAGGTTAGGTCATGTCTTGCCTCATGCCACTGGTGAGTGCGAGGAATGAATTGTACTGAAATCCTCAAAAGGAATACGTGCAAACCACCTATCAATCCTGTCCTAATTAAAGAGTTCCAACCCCACATCAAATCTGAAGAGAGCAGCTGCTTCATGTTCTGCGATGGCTTGATCTTCGGCTTCCTTAACTTCAGCTCCTCCTTGGCTCAACAAACCGTTTTTCCAAGGATTTGCTTAAGGAACCTGGAACAAACTGAAACCTGTTCCCCAGGTGTGGGGATTGAACCATAGCTGTTAGCTAAAACTGGGAAAAACAACAAATCACCCGATGCGCCGGTCACCAGGTTTTCGGGGTCTGGTCACCCCCGCAAGGGCATGGCGTGGTCCAAACTCCCAAGCACAAGGAGAACTGACTCCTCTGCCGTTTGGGAAAATCACGTGGGAACCGTACTGTTCCGCCATGTTCCACCTGTTTTTTGTCCAGCTGTTTTGTTGAGTGGGGAAACCGATTCCACAGAAAGTTATACAGGTTATCCACTTGTCCTGGCTAGGTGGCTGCACCCCACCTACCAAAAACACAGTATTGACAAGCAAGGTTGATGCTTGATCGGAGGTCATCCACCACAAAAATGTGGGGTGCCTGTTTTGAGTCACAAAAACGTCGGCAAGGGATCTGGCAAAGGTCAAACGGAAGGTGGACATGTCCTTCCTTTGTCAACATGGAGTGGGCGCTTCCACCTTCTCTAGCAGGCACCCGGGTCCCGGTTCGCCTTCAAAGACCATACAAATCAATGGTTGTGTGGTTTTCAGGCCATCAGAATCAACTGTGGCAGAATCCTAAGGGCAGATGTAACTAGACACCGACTCAAATGGACTCATGGGTTTTAAGGTTTCAGCGGCACCCGATTTTGAGCATCATTCAGTCACACCAGCAGTTACGAAGGGGGTGCCTGTTGGACTATTGGAGGATAGGTGTGCCCACTCACTTAGCAACTATAAACTATAAAACACTATTCCTTTGGAACTGTTGATGGTTGTACGGATTTGGACGCCCCCCCACCTTCTTTCTGGACAAGGTGCCTTTCCCTTGCCTTTGCCTTTTCCCTTGCCAGCAGGCCCTTTGCCTTTGGCAGGCCCCTTCCCCACTTTGCCAGCCTCAGGTTCAGGAGGAGTACTGCTGTCAATACCTTTGCTGGGCGGCGGGGGGCCTTTGCTCTTGCCCTTTGCTGGACCTTTTCCAGCTGGCAGGGCAGGACTGGTGGTAGGCGAATCGTCGGCAGCCTTCCCTGCTTCCTCTGTGGCTGATGTTCCACTTTTGCTGGGTGGCGGGGGGCCTTTGCTCTTGCCCTTTGCTGGACCTTTGCCAGTCGGGCTGCTGGGGCCAGCGTTAACATCTTCTGCAGCTCCTGCTTCTGCTGTAGCTGCTTCTCCTCCACCTTCTGTAGCGACTTGTCCACCTGTGGGTGGCCGGGGGCCTTTGTTCTTGCCCTTCGCTGGACCTTTGCCAGCCGGGCTTCTGGGGCCAGCGTTAACATCTTCTGCAGCTCCTCCTTCTGCTGTAGCTGCTTCTCCTCCAGCTTCTGTGGCGACTTGTCCACCTTTGGGTGGCGCGGGGCCTTTGCTCTTGCCCTTCGCTGGACCTTTGCCAGCCGGGCTTCTGGGGCCAGCGTTAACATCTTCTGCAGCTCCTGCTTCTGCTGTAGCTGCTTCTCCTCCACCTTCTGTGGCGACTTGTCCACCTGTGGGTGGCGGGGGGCCTTTGCTCTTGCCCTTCGCTGGACCTTTGCCAGCCGGGCTGCTGGGGCCAGCATTAACATCTTCTGCAGCTCCTCCTTCTGCTGTAGCTGCTTCTCCTCCAGCTTCTGTGGCGACTTGTCCACCTTTGGGTGGCGGGGGGCCTTTGCTCTTGCCCTTTGCTGGACCTTTGCCAGTCGGGCTTCTGGGGCCAGCATTAACATCTTCTGCAGCTCCTCCTTCTGCTGTAGCTGCTTCTCCTCC